GGACGCGTACAAATCTGAACATACATTAGACTTTCTACTGCTACGCATAAGGAATCTTTTGCATTTCCTTTTTCTCAAAATCATTCTTAGGGCACTGATTGAGACTAAACTTGTCTCCCTTAGACACAGGGGTATCACCTGGTTTGCAATCCAGCATGCAATATCTCTTGAGAATCTTTTCGATATAGCTATTTTGTGATAATTCAAGAATACCCCGAGAGTGATCCTGGTGTATCCGTATGCCTAATACAAAATAGGCATCACAAAAATCTTTAATATCAAAATTCTTAGCTAGAAATCTCTTGGTTTCGTGCAATAAGCCTATATCGTTGCTGGCAACCAAAATGTCATCGACATATAAAATCAGAAAAATATACTTGTTCTCACAGAACTTATGGTATATACAATCATAGACCAAATTCATCTCAAAACCAAACGAGATGATCACTTGATGAAAACTTGAAATACCATTGTCAAGATGCTTATTTGAGCCCATAGATGGATTTCTTAAGTTTGCAAACATATTCTTTGGGTCTCCCGACACAGTTTTCTGGTTGCACCATTTAGATTGTCTCATCAATATTTCCATTGAGAAACGTTGTCTTTACATCCATTTAATGTAACCCAAGATTGAAATGCGCCACCAATGCCATTATAATCCTGAAAGAGTCTTTTGAAAAAATCGGAGATAAAGTCTCTTTATAGTTGATGCATTCTTTTTGTGTAAAGCCCTTTGCGACAAGACGTGCCTTGTACCTCTGCACATCACCTATCGAATCCCTCTTGGTCTTAAATATCTATTTGCAACCAATGAGTTTCGCACCTTCTGGCAATGGGACAAGATCCTACACGTCAGTGTCATTCATAGACTTAATCTCCTCATTCATGGCATCAATCCACTTCTGACTTCTGAGAGTTAGAACTTTTCATGGCTTGACGGAAGTTGATCGGATCATCTTCCATCACTCCACTGTCTACCTCATGTTCTTGGAGAAATACGATGTAGTCATCTGGCACCACACTTCTCCTTTTTCTAGTGGACATCCTTAATGTCATAGGTTCTTGAGGTGACAGAGTTTGTTCTTCTGTAACAATTTCTTGTATGGGAGGTTCTCTGACATTGTCTTGATCTGTTGTGTCTTGAACAAAGTCAGGAATAAGATCCTGATCAATGCTAATAGGACCTTTGGGAATATCAACATATTCCTCTTCGAAGACAAAGTCTCTAACTGCATCTCCCCCCGCAAACTCGACATCCTCAAAGAACCGGACATTTTCCGACTCGAAAATCGACTTAGGCGTGGGATCATAAAACTTGTCCCCGCTGGATCTTTCACAGTATCCAATAAAAGAGCAACTCACCGTCATTGAGGTCAGTTTCTTTTCATTAGGCCTATAAGGTTTTGCCTCAGCTGGACATCCCCAAACATGCAAGTGCTTTAAACTAGGCTTCTTGCCTATCCAAAGTTCATAAGGGGTTTTAACAGTCGCTTTAGTTGGAACCCTGTTAAGGATATATGTTGCAGTCTTAAGCGCTTCTCCCCAGAGTGATTCTGGTAAGGTAGAATGACAAATCATACTCATCGTCATGTCCTTAAGTGTTCTGTTTCGTTTTTCAGCAACACCATTGATAGTGGGCGAACCCGGTATAGTGTACTGTGGGACGATACCGCATTCCTCTAGGAACTTAGCAAACGGTCCTGGACGTTGTTCACTTGAACCGTCATATCTACTATAGTACTCACCACCACTGTCAGATGTGACGCTTTTGATTCTTTTACTGAGTTGGTTTTCAACTTCAACCTTATAATTTTTAAACACATCCAACGACTGACTTTTCATGAATGAGATATATGTAGTAATTTCTAGAAAATCGTCTATGAACGTCATAAAATATTGCTGATCATTCCAAGCAACCGTAGGGAATGACCCACAAATGTCTGTATGTATAAGTTCTAAAACGTTCAAAGTCCTGTTAGCTTCAAATCTCTTTTTATTGGGTTGTTTCTCTTTTATACAATTAACACAAACATCAAAATCTGTAAAATCTAAGGGGTCTAAAATTTCGTCTGACACAAGTCTCTCTATTCTCCGTCTGGAGATATGACCTAATCTCTTGTGCCATAATGTAACCGAATTCTCATTGCTTAATTTTCTCTTTATACCTCGTGTACTTAATTGCAGGGATTCATTAAATGAAGCAATTGTATCAATTAAATAAAAATTATCATAACTTGACAAAGAACCGGAACCAACCAATTTTGAATCATGAAACAAATTAAATTTTTTATTCCCAAATGAACAAGAATAACCAGATTTGTCCAAAGTAAAAATAAAAATTAAATTATGTCTAAAAGATAGTACAATAAATGTCTCATCAAGATCCAAATATAATTCAGTCTTTAATAATAATCTAAATTTTTCTATTACTTCAACTTGAACCATCTTGCCATCGCCCACATAGATGTATTTTTCACCATCACTTGGCTTTCGGCAACTCAGGCAACCCTGTATAGACATACTGATTTGAGTTGCACCAGAATCTATTCACCACGTGTGTCTAGGTACCGAAGTTAAATTAACCTCAGAACAAACCAAATTTAGAAGCATACCTTTCTTAGAACGCCATGCGTGATAGTTGGTGCAATACTTCTTCTTAGGCCCTTCAACTCTACAGAAGTAACAATCCGTATCTTCCGGTTCAACCGGTTTCTTTTGTTGTTTCTTTTGAGGTGTCGTTTCTACAGCTTGCTTCTTCCTTTTCTTTCCCTTGTCTTTGTCTTTAGAGGTTGAGGCCAGGTGAGCACTTCTTACCTTATCTTTGTCACGCCTCCAAACCGGGGTTAGTAACGTGGAGGCTTGTTTAGAAACTTAAACCTATTTAAGAGAGTGATTAGCAAATAATGTTGCAAATATTTTAAATTTTTTTTTTCAAATCCAAAACATCCAGGTATTTCCAAACAAGCCCCTGCATTCAAGAGAAATTTAATTTTAAGAAGGGTGGTGAAATTTCTAACCAAACCAGTTTAAAATCACGTCCCTGGTATCAAGTCAGGAATTCCCACAGGTGTTTAGCATACATGAATATAAACAAAAGTAAATGTGACATCAACCACAGTCTAGCAATTTTTTAAGTTTACAATCCATAATCTTTTATACATGTCTTGAGATAAAGGATAAGAGGATACAACTCTTCGCTTCCCGAGGTCAAGTCCACGTCACCGGTAGTAACTACTTACTCCGCACTACTCCTTGCGTCGCCTGGAGAGGTTTAATATATTTGAAAACAAGAAAAGTAAGCGAAAGGCCCAGTAGGATATAATTATTATAAAACATAGTAAATAAAAGTACTCACGGTCCGAAGACATACACTCGGGACCGGTCATCCCTTTTTAGAAAAGGAAATACTCACATAGTAGAAAATGTCTGTATAATGAAAGTGTGCAGCTTATTATACCACTAAACAAGAAGCGGTAAAATGTCTGTCTAGTTCAAAATGCAGAGCCATAGTTCCACTAAACAAGAAGTGGATCCGTACGAGTTTCGGGACCTGCCCCCAAGGATGCGATTCCCACATCCCGATCTCTGAAGCCACCATGCGTTGTATCATTCCTTAAAATATTTCATTTTAAAAAATAATACTCTTTAAAATCTCATTTCCAAAATCACTGGAAAACTTAATAGTATTTTCATGCTATTTCTTTAAAATCATTTTCTTTAAACATGTTTTGTTCTAAAATATTTTCATTGGCCAAAATCATTTAAAGTGAGGCTAACAAGGATATGGACAAGAATATCCTACCTCTCGGATGTCAAACCTGGGCTAGCCTTCCGTTCTCCTAGCCTCCGCTTTCCTTAGAGCTTTAATACTTAACCTTCTACACTAGCTTTATCACAAAAGCAATATCTTAGTAAATATTTCTCATTCCTAAAACGAATTAAGTTTAATCATGTTTAATTATTTCCTATTAGTGTGCCTTGACTCAAATCCAAGTTTCACAAATGGTTTTATAATTTAGTTTAGGAACTTAAATCCAATTCATGGGTTTGGTTTCCTATTTAATTTCAGTTTAAAAACAAGTTTTTAAAGAAATTTCGGCAGCATGCCGGCATAAATAGGAAAAATGCCAAACTTGCAATTCAAGTTCAATTTCAATATATATTCTTCAGAATTCATCAAAATCAGTTTCCAATCAATTAAACAAGTCCAATAACTAAAAACTCTCAAATTTCATTCAATTCTTACAACAATTGTTCAGATTCAAACTCTAACTCAAAATTATTCAAATCTTACCAAAATTAAACTTTCTCAAGCTTAAAATTCGAATCAAAGAGTGGGTTTTAAAGGGTTTTACCTCAAATCAGTTGCTCGAGCTTTGTCTCCCTCAATTTCTCCCGTTTTTCGTTTTTTTTTTGTGGTTCTCGGCCAAACTGCCGAGAGGGAGAGGGAGAGAGAGAAATCCGGAGAGAGAGCAAGGGAGAGAAAAAGGCCGGCAGGAGAAAGCCCGAAGAAGGAGGTGGCTGGCGGTGGAAGGAAGAAAGAGAGAGAGAGAGAGAGAGAGAGAGAGAGAGAACCAGAGGAAGAAAGAAGAAAAAAAAGAAAAAAAAGAAAAAGAAGGAGAGGGGGGGCTGGGCTGCACAGGAAGGGAAAGGGGGAAAAGAAAAAAAGAAAAGAAAAAAAAAGAAAAAGGAAAAAGAAAAGAAAAAGAAAAATGAAAAAAAGGGGGAAATGCATTAAAATTTAAGTGTATTTTCAAAAACTTTTGAGGTGAAATTATAAATACTGAAAATAATTTAAAGTCCATTGATTAATTGTGAAAATTAAATTAGGCACACTAATAATTCACATTTTAGCATAATTAAACATGTTTAATTCTGGAGGGCGTTACAATCTTGCTTCAACCTTTCGTCTTCTTGAACATAGTGTGATATGAGCTCATTCAGAGACCAAGTCCCTTTTTGACAGTTGTAGCTCACCTTAAACTGATTAAACTGTGCTGGAAGAGATATCAAAACCAGATGCACCAGCAAATCCTCAGAGAGTTCAAGCTTAAGTACTTTCAACTTTGAAGTAAGATGAGACATCTCTAGGATGTACTCCCTGATATTGCCTTTGCTCCTATACCTCATTGAAATTAGACTTGTCAAGAGCGTACCTATTTCAGCCTTTTCGTTCTTAACAAACCTCTTTTCAATGTCCACAAGAAACTCCTTCGCCGTAGCAATCTTATCAGACATTGTGCCTCTGAATGCTTTCAGAATAGCCTTCTTCATTATCATCATACACATGCAATTTGATTTCTCTCATCTTTCCATATCCCTCTTTTCATCAGAGGTACTCTTATCCGTAAGAGGTGGAGGAGAATCAACCCTTAATGCAAGGTCGAGATCCATGACTCCGAGAAACATCAATATGTTCTCTTTAAAGTTAGAGCAATTTAGCATAAGAATAGAGTTGATGTTGGCAGTAATATTAGCAGAAGTCATAGCTAAACAGAGAAAACAACAAACAAACAAACAAAACAAGCTCACATAAGTCCCAAAACAAAAATAAATTCAAATAAAGGTAAACCCCATCTCAAGATACCGGGCGCTCTATTAACATTTTATCTTTGGACAAATATTAACTTGTAAGTGATATTTTGGTGCAGTAATCAAATACTGATAATAAGAACACGCCAAACAATAAATTTTCTTTTGGGTCGAATTATTGTTCACATGTAAAACTGAGTAATCATCACGCGTTCATTACCACAAGTGTACATGCAATTCTGTTAAATATTAACCTTCGTTTGGGCCGATCAATATTCACATAAGTTACATATACACAATCGTTTATATTCCAAAACAAATTAATTTCCACCAGAGAGGTCACTTTGGCGACATGTTACTTCAATTAATTCATCTCAAAATATATATAACCATACTAATATCTGAATTTAAAATTGCACTCAAATTGACAAAAAAAAAAGGGTCAAAGTCAAAGTCAACTGTCAAAGTCAACCTAAGGT